TACAAGGTTCTTAGCTTAAATGAACCTGACATGCAAACAATATATGTTATTGTTGGATTTATTATGCCATGGAGCATTTCATCTCTCTGTCTTTTATTTGCTTCTGGTTGTTCGTTTGATTTATGAGTTTCAGTTTCTTAGTTTGATCATTCTTGGATTAGTTTGTTCATTTACTTCTGCCGATATACTTCTTGTCTGCTTATGTGAGTGTGAAATTCTTGGATTGTCCATATCTCACCTTTGGCCTGGCACTTCCTGAATCTGAACTTAATTTTGCATTTGTACTGCCTGCCAACATGGATAAGCCATGTCGCTCTTTTGAGCACTTAGCCACACACTTACAAGCCATTTAACCAATTCCTGTTTACATTTAGTGGGACAACTTCGGGTTTCAGACTGTCAATATAGATGTTCTTTTTCTGTCATTTCATGATGTTAGATTATTTATTCTTCCTCTTATCGCTGTATGCTCTAATGGACTTAGATTTCATATATGAAATTAGATGGAATTGGGCTGGAATGTTGTTTATGGTAGTACTAGTGAAACGCGGGCTTTGTTCTATGGATTAACTTTTTCTCATGTTTAAGCTGTCAATATACATGATTGGATGTATTGGAAGGCTGTCATTGTTTTGCACATTGGTGTTAGAATGTGTGCTATGTCTTGATTTTTGTTGTAACTAAGGAGGGCTTTGGTTTGTTTTACTTCTTGTACAGAGATTTGGAAGAGACTCAGAAGCAACTAAATGAAGTTTGTGCTGGTGATATGAGAAGGTGAGGATGAAGAACTGTTACCAGGACAGGTTTTGCCTTGGATTTCAGTTGGATAAGATGTTGTTTATTCTGCCTACATTAGCAGTATAATAAATAAATAAATAAATAATTTCTTTCGCTGTAGTGGAATAGTTTCAGCATGTTATAATCGCATTGAAATTGACATCAAGTTTTACTTTGCAGGTATTGTGACTGTAACAACTGGGTAGGAGGATTCTGGTAAGTTAGGGTTGCAATCTAATTTTCAGAAATTTCAGGTAATAGTGCGGCCCCTGACTCTCCTTTCTCAAGGAAAGGAATATGCCGGAATTTTGTATAGAGATTGATCTAATTTGTGTAAAGCGGCGCTTCTTATACTACTGTAAGATTGTACTGGTTATACATATAATCTATATGGCTCTCTCTGGATTTCAAGAAGCTCAGTTCATCTTCTCACTCTAGTTGTTAGGAGATAGTGGCGGATTTCAAAGCTAAGTAGTGCAATTATTACTCCACTAATCACCATTCTGCATTTCTGTCATGGTTGTTTCATGTTTTAACCATAGCATTGGCAGGAACTTTGGAATATGCTAGTCAAATGTTGGTCTACGTGATACATTGGTCACAAGATAGTTGTCATGGAGCCAAACTGAAGAGAAGCTCTTCAGTGCTTTTTATCTGCTGTTGCAATGAAGTGAATTAACACAGATTAGAGTATGTTGAGTGCAAATTATCCGAAGTTGTGGGTAAGGAAAGATGGATTTAGGAGACATTGCAGAGTAAAGATTGTCAAAATTTATAGAAGAGTGACTGATGGTGATGTTGTGCTGCTACAAAAGTAATCTTAGTTGGAGTGGATGTGGCTGCCTGCTAAATGATGAACTTTGCAGAATGTTTTGTAGCACAATTGCGCTCAGGAATTTGATTTCAAGCTGAGCAGAAAGTTTAAGGTTTGGAAGAGGAGGGAAAAACTCGATTGAACCGAGTTCCTAGCTTCCTTGAGCTAATAACTCGTATGGGAATCATTGTGTAGAGATATATGCCAAGTGCAAGGGAAAACGATTACATTTTGATGATTGAGTTTGTCATGGGTAGCCACTAAATATTATCACCCTTGACTGTCGCTGAGTTCGTCAATCAGAGGAGGAGAGAGGGGAGGGGGGGTGCACCAACTTTGTTGCCCTACCCTTGTTTGTTGGGCCTAGACGTTTCCAAAAAAAGGTCTCAAAAACATTTTATTGCAAGAGAAAAGGGGTGTAAAGGGTAGCCTCTCAATTGCTGAATCTGCGTATTAGAATCTACGAGAGGCTCCATCCTCTCGAGTCTTGGGCAAACTTGTGACGTCTTATGCCGAAGAAGGAAGAAGACATGCGGAGGTACCTATCATCCATAACATGACATAACATTCCGACCAAATGTTATCAACCTTGTACCTTGAAGTATCAAGCATGGAGTAGCATTCTTGACAAACCATGCTGGTTGAGGATAATGTCGTTTCTCAAGTAGAGTTGTTGGATTGCTTTATTATACGTTGACCATGAATAATTCAAGCCTTCTCCCCAGTGGAAGGACATTCTCGGTGGACTGGCTAAATAAAGAATCTTTGGTCAATACCTAAAGAAAGGATCCCCCTGTATTTGTTTTTTGAAATCAATAGCAGACAACTATAAATTAATTGATGTTTGGAATTGGACGCCACTTTGATTGTGCGTGCGTATAAGCTACCGTGTTAACATGCTCCGAAACAAGGGCTCAAATGTGAGTAAAATCAATTGTAGCTAATCGTATAAAACTCCAATCAATCAGGTATCCTGAAGGCTCGAAATTGACTTTCTAAGCACTTGGATCTCTCTCATCCTGAATCTATTCGTTAATTCCCCCTTCTCAATCATCAATGTGACGCATCTTTTTGAGATTTTTGACCAATGCGCTTACACTTGCAGGTCCAAATGCCCTCCACCGTTACTGGATTGCTGACGCGGCGGTGGAAGCAACTTAGCGGGAATAGTGTCACAAACTAATTCCATAAAAAAGAATCAAGAATCCATACATGATTGAACTCCTAAAATAACAAGATTCGACAAAAATTCACAAGATTCTAATAACTTGAGAACATGAATAAATTTGACACAACTATATTAAAATTTCAATAATAATGTCAAGAGCCAAAAAAAAATAATCATAGGAATGCCTATTTTTAGACTACATGTGCTTTAAATTGAAAAAAAAAAAAATACTTAAAATGCTCCGTTTGAATTAGCTGTATTTGATGGTGTTTTTGCAATATTTTACTGTAATATTGTATATGAAAAATTTTTACTAAAAATATTTTTAAAAATATTTGATATATCATATGGATGAAATATTTTTTAAATTATTTTTATTTATATATTAATGTAATATTGTATTTAAAAAATTTATTTTTAAAAAATAGATTAATTCAAACGAAGATAACGATGCTACCCGTCGTGGGTCCACAGAGTGGATCCAAAAGGCAAGTATCAACTCAATACTCATGCACTGCCAGATCCGCGGGTGTGGTGACCCGAATCCACTCGCAAATCGCCTTTAGAAACAAATCTTGCGTGATTTTCCCTTTTTTCTTCCTTCAATACAATTATAGTTAATAATAGGAAAACTGAATAAGAACCAAAAACGGCATTTTGGACAGTTTCATTGATGCGGACGGCAAGTTCCTGAACCTAGAATTCCACGTTCCGTGTTAATTTCGGAGCCGAGTCTCGAGCTCTTGGAGACTACTTGTTCAATGGGCCGTGTCTACAAATTCCGGTATCAGTCACCTCAACACTTGATCTCAATGACAATGAGCTGCAGAGCCCAATTCCAAAATCAATTTGTGAACCTCACTGTCCTTGATATTTCTCAAGTAATGCAGGCTTCATTTGACAAATAAGTTTTTTGGATGTTTGTCTAAAATTTTATTGTAACTTATTGTAAAAATTGTAGGAAAAATTTTTGAAGTGTGTAAATTTTTGGATATTTTGAAGTGTAGAGTTTAAAAATTTTGAGAAATTTTTTAAGAAAGCTGTATGTAAAATTACCAAATAAACTTGGTCAAAAACTTATTTGCCAAACAGAGCGGCAATCTCTTCAACAACCTATTGTTTGTTCTAGAGGCAAGCAGGTTTTCCAAACTTGAACTAACTTTTTGGTAATTTCATTCTGGCAAATACATTGTCGTGAATGTTGATGTAGGTAACTCGACCCAACTCAACCTTGCTCATAGTCCCTGTTTGGCAAATGAATTTATTGATGTATGTCTAAAACTTTACTGTAATTTCCTATAGAAGTTATAGCAAAAATTTTTGAAATGTATAAATTTTTTGATATTTTGAAATATATAGTTTAAAAATTTTGATAAATTTTTTGAAATTACTGTAGTTAAAGTTGTTTAAAAACTTATAACAGATCAACTTGATAAAAAAACTTATTTGCCAAACAGACCCTATAGTTCTTGTCCTCTCGTGGCTTAAGAGATTTGTGACAACAGTTGACTTGTTGAAAGCAGCCAATAGTCTAGATAGGCTCGATCCTTCTTACAACATTCTTAGGTATACTGCAAAATTTCGAATGATAAATGGTTCAAGTGGACTGAAAATTGGTACCACCTGAATTTCTCCCACGAATTTCTGGTTGAGTGACGGACCAAGTTCCTATTCCAAAATCTCTTTCATCTGGATCTTCGTTCTAACTTTCTACTAGGGCCGGTTCTTGCCCTGCTCGCTTCACCTTCATGCAAATTGACTTCGGCGCTGGTTCTTACAATATCTCGAAGAATTACATTTGCAGTGTGATTCCATAATGTTTGGTGGCCATGAGCTCAGGGATTTTTTGGTGTTAGATATGCTCATGGATTGTTTTTACGGGAGAATTGCAGTAAGTTTTTACGGAAGATATCGCAATCCCTGGTTGCTAGTGGCTAATAAAGAAAGAAAAGAACAGAAGATAAGGGACGGAGAAAATTTTATACCCAAACAGAACATGTACGAAAAAGCCAAAAACCACTGGAGAGGACAACAATAGGGTAGTTTTTAGTTGTTATGCTACTAATTTTCTTAAGAAGAAATTCTTTTTGTTTTTCTTGAAGGGTGGTGGGGGCAAGAAAACGGCGGGAACGATCGGAAGATTAAAAATTAGGACTACTAGAAAAGATCATCCAATCGGTAAAATTAGGGAAAAAAATGACAAAGGGACAAATACCTGCGACGACTGAAATATTCTGAAACATCAAGTCGGGTGAATCTGCAAATCATTGATGTTTTGTTTAGTTGTAGTTGTAGAAAGTCGTCGTCGTCGTCGTCGTCGTAACTCTAAAGCCTCATGTAAGGAACGCGTCCCACAACGGATCCAGCTTTAAATACTCCTCATATTTAGCCCTCTCTTCGACCAACCTCCGCGAAGTTTTTCCTTTTTTTTTTTTATTAATCTTTCTTCTTCTTTTTCCCCTTTCCTTTTCTCTCTCTCTCTCTTACTAATCTTTAGGAGTCCTTGGATTTATTGGGAATTTCATTGCTTTTTTCTCCTTCTTCCCTGTCATTTGTTGAGGAAACAACAATCCAATTCAACAACATTAACTAAAGCCATCCAAGAATCATTCAACTCGCACCCCATCACCATCATCATCATCTGATCATAGACGTTTCTGCAATGTTTCCTTCAATGCTTAATTCCTATATATTTGGAAACACATGTAGATTGTAGAGTTATAAAGTCGTCCCCTCCAAAGCCAACAACCTTTTGTCGTCCAGGAAAAAAAAAATTTTTTAAAAAATGGGGAGTTATAATTATTACAGGATGTTTGGATGTTTTAACCGGAAGTTTAAGATCAGCGAGACGGAGCCACCCCCGGACGTGATGAGTGCCTTCCATAAGTACGCCGGGGGCGGGACCCACATGACGGCCGACCAGTTTGCCAGGTTCCTGGTGGAATACCAGGGCGAGGAAGGCTGCACTCTGGCGGATGCAGAGAGGCTGATGCACATTGTCATCCAGCGTCGTCACCATTTGACCAAGTATACTCGCCGGGGACTAGACCTTGAAGATTTCTTTTATTTCTTGTTCCAGGATGATCTTAATGGCCCCATTAAAATTCAGGTCATTTCCTGATCTTCCCAGATTTTTCTCTACACCATTGTCTTCTTCTTCCATTTTAATTTCCTTTTCTAATCTCGGGTTTTTATTATTAATTTTTTTTTGGGGGAGGGAGGAGGGGGGTGGCGGGGGAAGGGGAATCAGTTTTCTATGAATGCATGCTTAAGCCAAATATAAGATGAAATACCTTCTACCCCCAAAAAAATGATGAAATACCGACAACGTAATCTTAAGAACGTGTTTAGATGCATGAGACTTGCAACAAAAGCAAAAAGCTAAACTTGGATGAGGTTTACGTGTTATGACTTATGATCTTAGCATGTCAGTATAAAGCATTATCTCTGCTGTTTGTGTAGGAATTACGATCCCTTCTTAGATTGGTGCATAATTAAGTCATTATGATTGAGGATATAATTTAATGCGAAGTACTTTTTCAGTTGTTGGATAGGGTGTGACTATACTTTAATGGGGCCATTAAGATCATCCTGCATGTTCTTGTTGAAGACCTGCATGTTCTTGGCTAGTCAAGACTACTAGCTTGAGTCATCTTTGACAATTCTCCTCAAATCACTGTATAAATCTACAAAAGAATGAAAATTTCATATATGACAACTGGAACTAGGATTGGATGAGCGTTGGCTATGGTCAATGAAAAGTCTATAGTTATGGAACTCAAGTAAATGGAGTTACAGTTGCAACTCTGACTTATGCGGAATAATATTTTCTAAAAGGTAACTCTTGAAAGGAGTGTGATCAAATATGTTATATGTGTTTCAGAGGGTGTAATTAGATAGTTACAGTTCACCTCTAATGATTGCAAGACTGACTGCTGATAGATGGCAGATGGATCTCTACGAGAAATGCTGCCATGTAACAAAACTACCTTGAAGAGAAGTATAACCCGTAAGACATAGGATCAAAGTTGGAGAGGACTCTGTTAGTTGCGATTCTCTTACCACGGGACATAACATGTCAAACTTCAGCACTGTTTTCGTAGTTGTCTGCTCCGAACCCTTATGATGATGGCAGGACAAGATTGAACGTTGAAAATTGTTTTCTTCTACCCATTAATATTTTATGTTTGCCATCAGTTGTGAGTATCCCGCAAAGCTAATGATGTCTCGCGGCACAACAACATTTTTTCTGTCAGCGTGCCCCAAATCTTTCAAGAGGTTGATGGTTTTAAGAGGAAATAAGGAGAGGCCGATAGTATTAAAATAGCGGAACTGACATTCCAATTTAGTAGCCAAAAAGAGTAAAATGCATTTCGGAATGCCCTGCTAGAAAAGGACGCTTGGTTCCATCTTTGCATTCTGTAGCTGGCTTATGTTATCATGGTTTATATATTGTGGAAATTCTGCAGTTTAAGCATTTTCTATGTCAACATTGCCTACAATTTTGTTTATTTTGTGATTCCAGGTACATCATGATATGACAGCTCCATTGCAACATTATTTCATATATACAGGTCACAATTCATACCTAACTGGAAACCAGTTGAGCAGCGACTGTAGTGAAATCCCAATCATAAAAGCCCTAGAAAGAGGTGTTAGGGGAATAGAACTAGATCTGTGGCCCAATTCTGCAAAAGATAATGTGCATGTTCTTCATGGAAGGTAGGGTATGATCCTAGACTCATTTTCAGTTTTTTTTTTTTTGTCATTTTCCTTTGGATATCGTATACAAAAGACACTACACAGAAAAAGAAAATGAGTTCCTTGAAGCTGTTTCTTTTCTTTAGTTTCTTAAAGCATTGCTTCTTTTCCTTATTATCTATGTCAATGTGCTGAGCAAATTTCATTCTGCAGTGTATATGAGATGATAGCGAGGGCTATAAGAGAGGGAGCTTAGATTTCCAGTTGGTTTCTTCTTTGTAGAATCGCTTCATTTTTAATGCAAAGAGACCAGCATGGGTTTCTCTATCATTTGCTTTGCTCTAGTTGTCCACATTTAGAAATCTGTGCCAGAAACTATTTGTCTGATATATATTCACATTTCAATTTTGCTGCGTCTATTTTTAGGGACACTTCTAAATTTTCTCTTACCGGAAATGGCAATGTAAGAAAATTTAACCTTGTTGATCATTTTCAGGACGCTGACCACTCCAGTGCCACTCATTAAATGCTTGAAGTCTATTAGGGAGCATGCTTTTGTCAAATCTCCCTACCCTGTAATAATTACTTTGGAGGATCACCTCACTCCGGACCTTCAGGCTAAAGTTGCAGAGGTTGGAGTTTCTCGCTATTTGTTCTTCCTTTTTTTTTAAGACTGAGAAAACATCAACATTGCAACTGATATAACCTATCTGCTTCTAGATGGTAATTCAAATTTTTGGAGAAATGCTGTATTACCCGGAGTCGGGATGCTTAGAAGAATTTCCCTCTCCGGAAGCATTGAAGCATCGAATAATTCTTTCAACCAAACCACCAAAAGAGTACCTTGAAATAAAGAATCAGAAAGAAGGAACTTCTTCACCTGCGGAAAAGGATTCTTCTGAAGATGATTTTTTTATGAAGGATACGTTGGAGGGCGACCCAAAGGTACATTTCATAGAATCTTTCTTGTCATCCGTTGAATATTACTCAAAATTTCATCTGCAATGTTTATTGGTTTATGATTTCAGTACGATAGTGATCCAGATGATGAAGATGGAGACATCCAAAACCAAAAATCATCCCAACTAGCAGCACCGGAGTACAAGCGTCTCATTGCTATTCATGCTGGGAAGGCAAAACAGGGGTTGAGGCACGCATTAGTAACTGGGCTGGACAAAGTTAAGCGTCTTAGTTTGACTGAACAAGACCTTGAAAGGGCTGCATCTTTATATGGAACTGATGTTGTGAGGTATTCACTTGAAGTAAAAGTTGAAGATTGCTAGATTGCTTTTGACGTTCACAATAGCTGTCCCATCTGGTCTTCTACCAACATTTTGTTTTAGCTGAATTCAGTTTTGAATTCTAGGTTTACACAGAAGAATATTCTGAGGGTGTTTCCAAAGGGAACAAGAGTAACCTCGTCCAATTTTCACCCTTTAGTTGGCTGGACGCATGGAGCTCAAATGCTTGCATTCAATATGCAGGTCAGTTTTCAAATCTTGTGTTCCTAAACTCCTGGAATGGCAATCCGAGCTTGGTCATGCACTCATTCACTGTCCTTATCTTAAACATAACACTTCCCGGCAGTTTAATTACATTAAAAGTTTTATTGAATTAACTTCTCTGGCATTTCCAGAAATCCTTATTGTCTTTGTCGTAAATAGTGATCCAAGTAGAATGTCATGCAAATCTGCTAATACAGCATCTATACACTGCTCCATGCTCACATGTCAGCATGGACAAGCAGTTTGTGCGAGGGATAAACCATCAATGACTTCTGTTGCATCAATGGTAACATGCATCACAGAAACAGTACACAAGCAAGCAATCGACTTTCATAATTTGATTATGATTACCACATTTGTGTCGGCATGTATTCATCTTAGTTGAGGATTCTTTTCACCAACGGATTTAGTGAAATCATTTTCTTTCTTAACCCAAACAAACAGGGGTATGGAAAATCACTTTGGTTGATGCATGGGTTGTTCGGATCTAATGGAGGTTGCGGTTACGTTAAGAAGCCTGACTTTCTCATGAAAAGGGGACCGCGGAATGAGCTATTTGATCCTAAAGTAAAATTGCCAGTTAAGAAAACTTTAAAGGTGAGCACCTTTCTGACAGTGGCTATTGCAAACTCCAACCGCCCGATGACTTATATTAATTACAGCTTAATCATTTTTTCCACAGGTAAGCGTGTATTTGGGAGATGGATGGCGATTAGATTTCAGTCACACACATTTTGATTCATATTCACCGCCAGACTTCTACACAAAGGTCAGCGACTAAAATTGGTTTAAAAGTGTTATCCTGATAGATATGATATGATATTTCCTGTTTTGATGCGATGGTAACTTTTAAGACGTTCGAAAATGGAACTTCTGGCGAGCTTATACCCATGTAATGAGTGGCTGAACTGATATATTGTTGCAATCTGCTGCTTCTGTTGACGCGTTCATCTATTTCTTCTGTTTTGTTTCCTCCTTAACATATTAAATCTTGTTCAATAGGTTGAGCCTAAGATAATTTCCTCATGAACTGCAGGTTCAGATGGTAGGAGTGCCTGCAGATGAGGCCAAGAAAAAGACGAGGATAATAGAGGATGACTGGGGACCGATATGGGATGAGGATTTCACATTCCCATTGACAGTTCCTGAGTTAGCTTTGCTTCGGATTGAAATCCGTGAGCATGACATGTCGGAGAAGGATGATTTTGGGGGACAGACATGCTTGCCTGTTTCGGAGTTGAGACCGGGGATCCGAGCAGTTCCAATTTACGATAAGAAAGGAGAGAAACTTAGATCTGTAAGGCTTCTGATGCGGTTCCAGTTTATATGAACCCTACTGCATCCTTCAAGCCCGCCCGCGACGCGCTTCTTTTCCATCCTTAATGTTGTAGTAGAGTTGGATTTGCGCGACCAGATCGTTTGTACAGAGGAGTGCTGCAATTGCAGTAACAAGATACAACTTCTTTTTTTTTTTTTGAAAAAAAAATGGTTCAAGTAAACATTTTCTTGTAGACATCAGCGAAACACAAAGGGCATTGCTCTCTGATTGGTGGGGTGGCAATGCCAGGGAACCGGATTCTCTGCGAATTTCAGTGAGTTGTAACTTTATAACCAGTTCGCCACAAATTTATATCATCCTGTTGAGGCACAAATTTATCCTGCTTCATATCTAATTCAAAGAGTCAAAGAATGAAAATTGTCCCCTTTTTTTTTTCATTTAACTATCTATCATCTTATTGTCAGTTTAATTTTTTGTTGCATTTTAAGTTAAAAAAAAAAGAGGAGAAGTGAGCAGACAATTTAAACATAATTGAAAGGCCAAAATAGTCAGAAGATTTCTTCACTGCGCAAATATCGTATCTTGCAACAACTAATTAGAGACAATTCCCTGCAAGCAAAACATAGAGATGAGCAAGTTTACAAGTAAAAAAAAAGGGATAATTTCAGAAACAAACTGAACTCACCCGAGATTTAAAAAATTGCACATACCTCTCTTGATTTGATAGTTTTAGTAACAAAACCTTAAAATAATATTGACTTGGTCAAATTTTTAAATGAATATCCAAAAATGCCCTTATGTAATGAGTTTTAATTTACTTCCCTATAGAATTATAAAATTATCTAATGTAATTATAAGGAAAAGGCGCCGAATTTTTCATATCCATATCTACTATTTGATAAACAACTATAATAATAATAATTTTATCACTATGATAGGATACTTTTGACGGTATTTTACTATGGATTTAGATTTATAAGATAGAAAATAAAATATTGAAATAATTGTTTCATAGTTTATGAATTTTTTGAATAGTGGGATTATTATAGTTTAATAGTGATTTTGGGTAATTTCTTTTTTATTTATTATTAATTTTAATACCAAAAAATAGAAAACAAAGATTAGCAAAAAACATAGGATTACATATAAAGTTAACTCATCAAAAAAAACATTAGTTTGACATTTGGTTACAATAGAAACTAAAGATAATAGTGGTAATTTTATAATTTTATTGGCCAAAAAAATAACATAAAAAGGATAAGAAGGAAAAAGAATGAAAAAGTAATTTTAAAGTCATTCTAAGTATAAGTATACCAAACAAGAGAATTTCATTAAAATATTTAAGAGTAGTATTGTCATTTTAAATGACAAGGGAGTATGTGTAATTTTCTAAACCTTAGAGGTGCTTAGTGAAATTGTCAAAAATATTAGGGACGGTTTCTGAAATTATCCCAAAAAAAGGCTCTTTAATGTTTAATTATTACTCTTTAGATGACAAAAGGGGTACGTGAATATGATATTCTTTGTAAGTAATGGGATTTAATCATGAATTAATCTTATATACACTATCACTATTAAATATATAATACATGTGTAAAATTTGATTACGTGTCATCCATTTATTCGTGATAGTGTGTATACTTATAGTGCATATGAAATTTACTCTTTAATTATTACTCCTTAGATGACAAAAAAATACGTGAAATGAAATGTGATTATCTTTGCAAGTAATGGGATTTAATTGGGGTTGTTCATTGGTGACACTCCTCCACTCGATAATGAGGTGGAGGGCCTCATTGATTGATTGACTGAATTAGACACAATTTTCTTTGATCCAATGGTGGCCGGCCCAGCGGGGCAACCAGCTGTATGCATGGAGACAAAAAGGAGAAACAATCAACAATGACCTCACAGCTCACCACCAGAGCTGGACCAATAAGAAGTAAAGCGTAAAGGTTGGGGACGTTCCAGAATTGCAGGATATTGCAACCTTACCAGAACCCGACCTTTATCCACAAACAAAATCCAACGATTGAAAGGTTTCCCAAACCAGAATCGTTATCTTTTTCTTTTCTTTTCTTTTTTTTTTTTTCCCTGTAGGAAAAAGTTCGGTTGGTTGGATTTGGTTCCGAGTTCGACAGTGAACTTTGCCCGGTCCAATCTCCGGAAATGCCTTCCCATCTTCACAAGCAAAGCTATCCTCAAATCCCATCCTTGATAAAAAAAAACACCTAAGATCCTCAATCCTCAACATCCATAATCAACTCTACTCCTCTTCTCTTCTTTCACTTTTAGTTGACGTAAATCCAAAATCCAATCGCATGTCTAAACAGACCTACAGAGTATGCTTTTGTTGCCGGCGAAGGTTCAAGCTGGCTTCTGCAGAGGCCCCGGCTGAAATCAAGTCCATATTCGACCGCTACTCCGAAAACGGGACCATAAGCGTTGATAACCTCCATCGTTTCTTGGTTGAAGTTCAAAAGCAAGAGAATGCCACGGTGGAGGATGCTGGAGCCATCATAAATAGCCTTCATGAGCCTAAACACCTCAACATTTTCCATCGCAGCGGTCTTAATCTTGAGCAATTTTTCAAGTATCTTTTTGGAGATATTAATCCTCCTATTGATCCTCGTCGCGGGGTAATTCCATTTCTTCTCCATTTATATCAATTTCTAAGCATCAGAGTTGATTTTTTTTTTAAATGATTATGAGGTGGGTTTTTTGTTTCAAACAAAACAGGTTCATCATGATATGCATGATCCATTGTCTCATTACTATATATATACCGGGCATAATTCTTATTTGACTGGGAATCAGCTAAGTAGTGACTGCAGCGATGTCCCTATAATAAATGCACTCCAGAATGGTGTGAGAGTAATCGAATTGGATATATGGCCTAATTCCACAAAAGATGATGTTGATGTCCTGCATGGAAGGTACTGATCTTCATCGAAGAAATTAACTCAATTTGTGTATGGATTCTTTTTGAGTCGGACATTAATTGGTTCCAAGTTGGAAATGAAGTTGTAATTAGCCAAGATATCTACTTTCTTATACAGGACGCTGACAACTCCTGTGCAACTCATCAAATGCTTGAGGTCTATTAAAGAGCATGCATTCTCTGCATCCGAGTATCCTGTTGTTATCACACTTGAAGACCATCTTCCTCGGCATCTTCAAGCTAAAGTAGCTGAGGTGTGTAAAATTGCACTTTGGACAGAGAGTAACTAGTACTTTCATTGCTCTACTGCTAACATTTGCAATGTCTAAAAAATCTTAGATGATTAATGAAACATTTGGAGATATGCTGTTCGTACCTGGATCAGACGGTCTAAGAGAGTTTCCCTCGCCAGAATCCTTGAAAAGAAAGGTTATGATATCAACTAAACCACCTAAGGAGTACTTAGAGGCAAAAGACCTTAGTGGAGAACAGAATGAAGTGAAGGAAGGAAAACAATCAGCTGAAGCAGAACCTTGGGGAAGAGAAATCTCAATTAATAAATCTAGGACCAATGATGAGGTCTGACTGAACATTCCAATTACTTAACTGATAATCACAATTTGAGTTACAGCTTCGTGCGTTGTTTTCAATTTAAACTTTTCTACATAAGCTGTTTGTTGCAGGATGATCTCAATGAAGAGGAAGCTCATGAGGACGATGACGATGATGAAGTAGATCGCAAGTCTCAGCAAATTGCAGTCCCAGAATATAAACGTTTGATTGCAATCCATGCTGGAAAGGGAAAGGGTGGACTGGATGATTGGCTGAGGCTCGATCCTAACAAAGTGAGACGCCTTAGTTTAAGTGAGCTAGAACTTGAGAAGGCTGCTGTAACTCATGCAAAAGAAATTATAAGGTACTATGTTGATCATGTTACTTTGTCTACAACATACAACCAGTGCATACTTCGTGCAGTAGCTTTTGCTTGACTTCTCTAGGGGTTTCCCTGCATTGTAAATGGTATAAAAGTAATCCTGAGAGATGTCATCCTGATTACTATAGATCGTCATAGTTAGAACAATTGTTCTTGCTGGATACTCAGATACACATGTATTCAGCTTATTTTGCCTTCATTAATGGGGTTTTATAGTCATGGTATGTAGTTCGATCATCTAGGCCCTGTAAAATGTACTGTTTCATCCTTGAATCTTGCTGCATTGATGCTCCAATCGACAACATAATCCATAATACCTCTCTTTAGGCTTCAATTCTTGACCTTGCGCTTGAATTAAGTAATCATTTCCAATTAATAAGCTGTCCAGGCTTTTCTATATTCCTCTTTCAGTTTTACTCAGAGGAACTTGTTGAGAGTATACCCAAAGGGAATACGTTTTGACTCATCTAATTACAATCCCCTCATTGGATGGATGCATGGGGCACAGATGGTCGCACTAAACATGCAGGTTATCATTTTATCTTGATTGTCATATTGTTCTTCGATGTTGGCATATTACAATGTAAATTTATTGGCACCTTTCATTTTAATTTATAGTAATTAGGCCAAAGTCTATTTCAAGGAAATTTTCAGTGACAATTTTCTTCAACAGGGTTATGGAAGATCACTCTGGGTGATGCGTGGAATGTTCAGGGCCAATGGTGGCTGTGGATATGTTAGAAAACCAGATATCTTATTGAAGACTGGTAATGAGATTTTTGACCCTAAAGCCAAATTACCAGTTAAAACTACACTGAAGGTGAGATGAGTTTTACATCAGTATAAGCTGTCTGACAAATTTTCAAGAAAAATAAAATAAATTTTCTAATCTGTAATGTAATTGCATAAATAGGCAAATATCTTCTCGTGTTCCCAAAATAACCAGCATGGGTTTCTCTATCATTTGCTTTGCTCTAGTTGTCCACATTTAGAAATCTGTGCCAGAAACTATTTGTCTGATATATATTCACATTTCAATTTTGCTGCGTCTATTTTTAGGGACACTTCTAAATTTTCTCTTACCGGAAATGGCAATGTAAGAAAATTTAACCTTGTTGATCATTTTCAGGACGCTGACCACTCCAGTGCCACTCATTAAATGCTTGAAGTCTATTAGGGAGCATGCTTTTGTCAAATCTCCCTACCCTGTAATAATTACTTTGGAGGATCACCTCACTCCGGACCTTCAGGCTAAAGTTGCAGAGGTTGGAGTTTCTCGCTATTTGTTCTTCCTTTTTTTTTAAGACTGAGAAAACATCAACATTGCAACTGATATAACCTATCTGCTTCTAGATGGTAATTCAAATTTTTGGAGAAATGCTGTATTACCCGGAGTCGGGATGCTTAGAAGAATTTCCCTCTCCGGAAGCATTGAAGCATCGAATAATTCTTTCAACCAAACCACCAAAAGAGTACCTTGAAATAAAGAATCAGAAAGAAGGAACTTCTTCACCTGCGGAAAAGGATTCTTCTGAAGATGATTTTTTTATGAAGGATACGTTGGAGGGCGACCCAAAGGTACATTTCATAGAATCTTTCTTGTCATCCGTTGAATATTACTCAAAATTTCATCTGCAATGTTTATTGGTTTATGATTTCAGTACGATAGTGATCCAGATGATGAAGATGGAGACATCCAAAACCAAAAATCATCCCAACTAGCAGCACCGGAGTACAAGCGTCTCATTGCTATTCATGCTGGGAAGGCAAAACAGGGGTTGAGGCACGCATTAGTAACTGGGCTGGACAAAGTTAAGCGTCTTAGTTTGACTGAACAAGACCTTGAAAGGGCTGCATCTTTATATGGAACTGATGTTGTGAGGTATTCACTTGAAGTAAAAGTTGAAGATTGCTAGATTGCTTTTGACGTTCACAATAGCTGTCCCATCTGGTCTTCTACCAACATTTTGTTTTAGCTGAATTCAGTTTTGAATTCTAGGTTTACACAGAAGAATATTCTGAGGGTGTTTCCAAAGGGAACAAGAGTAACCTCGTCCAATTTTCACCCTTTAGTTGGCTGGACGCATGGAGCTCAAATGCTTGCATTCAATATGCAGGTCAGTTTTCAAATCTTGTGTTCCTAAACTCCTGGAATGGCAATCCGAGCTTGGTCATGCACTCATTCACTGTCCTTATCTTAAACATAACACTTCCCGGCAGTTTAATTACATTAAAAGTTTTATTGAATTAACTTCTCTGGCATTTCCAGAAATCCTTATTGTCTTTGTCGTAAATAGTGATCCAAGTAGAATGTCATGCAAATCTGCTAATACAGCATCTATACACTGCTCCATGCTCACATGTCAGCATGGACAAGCAGTTTGTGCGAGGGATAAACCATCAATGACTTCTGTTGCATCAATGGTAACATGCATCACAGAAACAGTACACAAGCAAGCAATCGACTTTCATAATTTGATTATGATTACCACATTTGTGTCGGCATGTATTCATCTTAGTTGAGGATTCTTTTCACCAACGGATTTAGTGAAATCATTTTCTTTCTTAACCCAAACAAACAGGGGTATGGAAAATCACTTTGGTTGATGCATGGGTTGTTCGGATCTAATGGAGGTTGCGGTTACGTTAAGAAGCCTGACTTTCTCATGAAAAGGGGACCGCGGAATGAGCTATTTGATCCTAAAGTAAAATTGCCAGTTAAGAAAACTTTAAAGGTGAGCACCTTTCTGACAGTGGCTATTGCAAACTCCAACCGCCCGATGACTTATATTAATTACAGCTTAATCATTTTTTCCACAGGTAAGCGTGTATTTGGGAGATGGATGGCGATTAGATTTCAGTCACACACATTTTGATTCATATTCACCGCCAGACTTCTACACAAAGGTCAGCGACTAAAATTGGTTTAAAAGTGTTATCCTGATAGATATGATATGATATTTCCTGTTTTGATGCGATGGTAACTTTTAAGACGTTCGAAAATGGAACTTCTGGCGAGCTTATACCCATGTAATGAGTGGCTGAACTGATATATTGTTGCAATCTGCTGCTTCTGTTGACGCGTTCATCTATTTCTTCTGTTTTGTTTCCTCCTTAACATATTAAATCTTGTTCAATAGGTTGAGCCTAAGATAATTTCCTCATGAACTGCAGGTTCAGATGGTAGGAGTGCCTGCAGATGAGGCCAAGAAAAAGACGAGGATAATAGAGGATGACTGGGGACCGATATGGGATGAGGATTTCACATTCCCATTGACAGTTCCTGAGTTAGCTTTGCTTCGGATTGAAATCCGTGAGCATGACATGTCGGAGAAGGATGATTTTGGGGGACAGACATGCTTGCCTGTTTCGGAGTTGAGACCGGGGATCCGAGCAGTTCCAATTTACGATAAGAAAGGAGAGAAACTTAGATCTGTAAGGCTTCTGATGCGGTTCCAGTTTATATGAACCCTACTGCATCCTTCAAGCCCGCCCGCGACGCGCTTCTTTTCCATCCTTAATGTTGTAGTAGAGTTGGATTTGCGCGACCAGATCGTTTGTACAGAGGAGTGCTGCAATTGCAGTAACAAGATACAACTTCTTTTTTTTTTTTTGAAAAAAAAATGGTTCAAGTAAACATTTTCTTGTAGACATCAGCGAAACACAAAGGGCATTGCTCTCTGATTGGTGGGGTGGCAATGCCAGGGAACCGGATTCTCTGCGAATTTCAGTGAGTTGTAACTTTATAACCAGTTCGCCACAAATTTATATCATCCTGTTGAGGCACAAATTTATCCTGCTTCATATCTAATTCAAAGAGTCAAAGAATGAAAATTGTCCCCTTTTTTTTTTCATTTAACTATCTATCATCTTATTGTCAGTTTAATTTTTTGTTGCATTTTAAGTTAAAAAAAAAAGAGGAGAAGTGAGCAGACAATTTAAACATAATTGAAAGGCCAAAATAGTCAGAAGATTTCTTCACTGCGCAAATATCGTATCTTGCAACAACTAATTAGAGACAATTCCCTGCAAGCAAAACATCTTAGAGATGAATAAGTTTCTTTTTCTAAACCTTAGAGGTGCTTAGTGAAATTGTCAAAAATATTAGGGACGGTTTCTGAAATTATCCCAAAAAAAGGCTCTTTAATGTTTAATTATTACTCTTTAGATGACAAAAGGGGTACGTGAATATGATATTCTTTGTAAGTAATGGGATTTAATCATGAATTAATCTTATATACACTATCACTATTAAATATATAATACATGTGTAAAATTTGATTACGTGTCATCCATTTATTCGTGATAGTGTGTATACTTATAGTGCATATGAAATTTACTCTTTAATTATTACTCCTTAGATGACAAAAAAATACGTGAAATGAAATGTGATTATCTTTGCAAGTAATGGGATTTAATTGGGGTTGTTCATTGGTGACACTCCTCCACTCGATAATGAGGTGGAGGGCCTCATTGATTGATTGACTGAATTAGACACAATTTTCTTTGATCCAATGGTGGCCGGCCCAGCGGGGCAACCAGCTGTATGCATGGAGACAAAAAGGAGAAACAATCAACAATGACCTCACAGCTCACCACCAGAGCTGGACCAATAAGAAGTAAAGCGTAAAGGTTGGGGACGTTCCAGAATTGCAGGATATTGCAACCTTACCAGAACCCGACCTTTATCCACAAACAAAATCCAACGATTGAAAGGTTTCCCAAACCAGAATCGTTATCTTTTTCTTTTCTTTTCTTTTTTTTTTTTTCCCTGTAGGAAAAAGTTCGGTTGGTTGGATTTGGTTCCGAGTTCGACAGTGAACTTTGCCCGGTCCAATCTCCGGAAATGCCTTCCCATCTTCACAAGCAAAGCTATCCTCAAATCCCATCCTTGATAAAAAAAAACACCTAAGATCCTCAATCCTCAACATCCATAATCAACTCTACTCCTCTTCTCTTCTTTCACTTTTAGTTGACGTAAATCCAAAATCCAATCGCATGTCTAAACAGACCTACAGAGTATGCTTTTGTTGCCGGCGAAGGTTCAAGCTGGCTTCTGCAGAGGCCCCGGCTGAAATCAAGTCCATATTCGACCGCTACTCCGAAAACGGGACCATAAGCGTTGATAACCTCCATCGTTTCTTGGTTGAAGTTCAAAAGCAAGAGAATGCCACGGTGGAGGATGCTGGAGCCATCATAAATAGCCTTCATGAGCCTAAACACCTCAACATTTTCCATCGCAGCGGTCTTAATCTTGAGCAATTTTTCAAGTATCTTTTTGGAGATATTAATCCTCCTATTGATCCTCGTCGCGGGGTAATTCCATTTCTTCTCCATTTATATCAATTTCTAAGCATCAGAGTTGATTTTTTTTTTAAATGATTATGAGGTGGGTTTTTTGTTTCAAACAAAACAGGTTCATCATGATATGCATGATCCATTGTCTCATTACTATATATATACCGGGCATAATTCTTATTTGACTGGGAATCAGCTAAGTAGTGACTGCAGCGATGTCCCTATAATAAATGCACTCCAGAATGGTGTGAGAGTAATCGAATTGGATATATGGCCTAATTCCACAAAAGATGATGTTGATGTCCTGCATGGAAGGTACTGATCTTCATCGAAGAAATTAACTCAATTTGTGTATGGATTCTTTTTGAGTCGGACATTAATTGGTTCCAAGTTGGAAATGAAGTTGTAATTAGCCAAGATATCTACTTTCTTATACAGGACGCTGACAACTCCTGTGCAACTCATCAAATGCTTGAGGTCTATTAAAGAGCATGCATTCTCTGCATCCGAGTATCCTGTTGTTATCACACTTGAAGACCATCTTCCTCGGCATCTTCAAGCTAAAGTAGCTGAGGTGTGTAAAATTGCACTTTGGACAGAGAGTAACTAGTACTTTCATTGCTCTACTGCTAACATTTGCAATGTCTAAAAAATCTTAGATGATTAATGAAACATTTGGAGATATGCTGTTCGTACCTGGATCAGACGGTCTAAGAGAGTTTCCCTCGCCAGAATCCTTGAAAAGAAAGGTTATGATATCAACTAAACCACCTAAGGAGTACTTAGAGGCAAAAGACCTTAGTGGAGAACAGAATGAAGTGAAGGAAGGAAAACAATCAGCTGAAGCAGAACCTTGGGGAAGAGAAATCTCAATTAATAAATCTAGGACCAATGATGAGGTCTGACTGAACATTCCAATTACTTAACTGATAATCACAATTTGAGTTACAGCTTCGTGCGTTGTTTTCAATTTAAACTTTTCTACATAAGCTGTTTGTTGCAGGATGATCTCAATGAAGAGGAAGCTCATGAGGACGATGACGATGATGAAGTAGATCGCAAGTCTCAGCAAATTGCAGTCCCAGAATATAAACGTTTGATTGCAATCCATGCTGGAAAGGGAAAGGGTGGACTGGATGATTGGCTGAGGCTCGATCCTAACAAAGTGAGACGCCTTAGTTTAAGTGAGCTAGAACTTGAGAAGGCTGCTGTAACTCATGCAAAAGAAATTATAAGGTACTATGTTGATCATGTTACTTTGTCTACAACATACAACCAGTGCATACTTCGTGCAGTAGCTTTTGCTTGACTTCTCTAGGGGTTTCCCTGCATTGTAAATGGTATAAAAGTAATCCTGAGAGATGTCATCCTGATTACTATAGATCGTCATAGTTAGAACAATTGTTCTTGCTGGATACTCAGATACACATGTATTCAGCTTATTTTGCCTTCATTAATGGGGTTTTATAGTCATGGTATGTAGTTCGATCATCTAGGCCCTGTAAAATGTACTGTTTCATCCTTGAATCTTGCTGCATTGATGCTCCAATCGACAACATAATCCATAATACCTCTCTTTAGGCTTCAATTCTTGACCTTGCGCTTGAATTAAGTAATCATTTCCAATTAATAAGCTGTCCAGGCTTTTCTATATTCCTCTTTCAGTTTTACTCAGAGGAACTTGTTGAGAGTATACCCAAAGGGAATACGTTTTGACTCATCTAATTACAATCCCCTCATTGGATGGATGCATGGGGCACAGATGGTCGCACTAAACATGCAGGTTATCATTTTATCTTGATTGTCATATTGTTCTTCGATGTTGGCATATTACAATGTAAATTTATTGGCACCTTTCATTTTAATTTATAGTAATTAGGCCAAAGTCTATTTCAAGGAAATTTTCAGTGACAATTTTCTTCAACAGGGTTATGGAAGATCACTCTGGGTGATGCGTGGAATGTTCAGGGCCAATGGTGGCTGTGGATATGTTAGAAAACCAGATATCTTATTGAAGACTGGTAATGAGATTTTTGACCCTAAAGCCAAATTACCAGTTAAAACTACACTGAAGGTGAGATGAGTTTTACATCAGTATAAGCTGTCTGACAAATTTTCAAGAAAAATAAAATAAATTTTCTAATCTGTAATGTAATTGCATAAATAGGCAAATATCTTCTCGTGTTCCCAAAATATACTCCCTCCCTTTTTTTATAACTGACGTTTAAGGTTTTGCACACCAATTAAGAAAAGTTTTTCATTGCTTAAATCTGTACACTACTTTCCTTTTGTACCCTCATTAATTGTCCAATTACTAGGGTTGTTACAAAGAGAGAAGCAATAATTACTAGGAGTAGTAATTAAGAACCCTGTATTGAAAAAGAGAGATAAAAGGGTAAAATTGTGAAAAAATAATTAATATTGTATGGGGATAATAAAACGATAGATAAAAGTACACTAGAGCAAATTTCTTAAACGTCAATTATAAAAAAAGAAAGGGAGTCGTAATGTTCCTATCAGAGTGTTCTTGTGCATGAATTCCCATTGAAACTGTAACCTGACTAAACTTATTGATTCGCATTCAACCCTGATCCCTTGCTATTGGGCAGGTGACAGTATTCATGGGTGAGGGATGGTATTATGATTTCCGTCATACACACTTTGACACTTACTCCCCTCCTGATTTCTACGCAAGGGTAAGTAAGGACTGAGTATATATCTCCATGTTCTGGTAAACTTAGTTCATTGCCAACTTTTAACTGTTTCAACAACTGTTGTTTGATTAAAAAGGCATTTAGGTTTCAGCTCTCAGCTGAACAGTTGTGTTGTAGCAATAGCCTTCTTCTTTGTAGTCTTTTTTTTAGTAGTAGTAGCTATTGATTAGTTAATTTCTTCACTAGATTTTTAATGCAAAAGATATTTATATTGCCATATTTCTTGAGCACAAGGCCTAAGAGTATAGTAGATTGTTCAAAGAGAAGAAAAATGGTAAAGGTGCTCAAGAGCATACGAGAATAATGAGAACTATTTGCTTTATTTGTGAACAACCTTCTGTTACATATTTACTCTTGTGGATTGCGTTATTGATGTCTGAGTAGGTTGAAATATATCTCCATGCAGGTAGGGATTGCTGGAGTTCCTGCTGATACTCTGATGAAGAAAACAAGGACGCTGGAGGACAATTGGATACCTAATTGGAATGAACACTTTGAATTCCCACTAACAGTTCCTGAATTGGCTCTGCTTCGGATTGAAGTTCATGAGTATGATATGTCTGATAAGGATGACTTTGGAGGACAAACATGCTTGCCTGCTTCAGAACTAAGAGAAGGCATCCGAGCTGTTCCTCTTCATAATCAAAAAGGGGAGCCATACAGGTCGGTAAAGCTTCTGATGCGATTTCAGTTCATCTGATGCAATGGCAAGTCTCTGGCTTTTGCTCCTCAGTCCTCGCCTCCTTGGTATATACCCATCTGTGTAAATTATAAGATCTTTTCCCTATTCCATTGGTTTTGTGCAATGCAATAAAAGATTGTGTAAACAATGCCTGGTTATGTGTATCTGTATATTGTCAAAGCCCAGAACCAAAGCCAACAATATATAGCAGTCTTGCTCGTTCCATCATTTCTTCTACGCTCTTCCTATGGTGCAGATGTCAAATTGTAAATAGTACGCAGACTTTGCTTAAATTGATCAGTTGATAATGCAAAACAGTTTTATGTGTTGCCTTGCTTCGCCCTACAGCTTTTATGGATTCTTATTTACTTTTTCTGTTGTCAAATGAATTAAAATCCATCATAAATCGGTTGGGATATTTACTCATTCTGGAGAAGAAACACTTTAAAAACTCATGCTTTAGTGGTTTTCTACTTTGGATTTACAAAAGCTTGTAGAACAGGCTTTCTAAGAAGGTCCTTGAAGCTGTAACGTAACACTGCAAGGCCACTAAGTCGATCATGGTTCTGAACAGCAAAATCCTTTCTGGGATTCGCTTTATCACCAGGTTCCTAACCTTTATCGCCTGGTATCTTACCAGGTCTGTCTAGCGTCTAGCCGTCTGGTCTTAAAGAGGAAAAGCAAGATGGGAGAAAAGAAATATGCCAACCAACGAACCAAGTGTTCGCTATATAATGCACTAAAAACTACTTGTACCATAACCTGACGGGAATTCATCAAAGTGGAGGAGGGGTCTGTTTCCTCGTTTTCTAATGGACAGTTTCAGTTATATTTAAGCTTTCCATTTATCACCCAAAAGCAACATTGAAGGGATTTTGTCGAGACCAAAATAAAATAAAAAAGAAGAAGAAGGAGAAGAAGAAGAAGAGCCAAGTTACAGTATAGAAATTGCCCCGCTATAATATGCAGAAGAAGTTAGCACCAGGAAAAGAGGGAACGAAATGCAGGGTGACGCGCGTCACAAATTGGCCATTGCAGGGAAATGTGCCGCGCGGAAGTGACGGTTAGAAAACTCCGCGCCCCAATTTCAACAAGCAAACAGGCAAATTTCATCCCAAACCCTCATTTCCGCAGGAAGTCCCGTAATGGCGACCTCCAACACCACCCTCCTACCGCCACTTTCTCCACCGTCCTCCGACTCAGATTCCGACTCCGGCACCAGTTCCCGCCAGCACCAACACACTGACCTCTCCTCCACCATCTTCAAATCCTACCTCGAACTCACCGGTCACCAATCCTCCCCTCAACATCAAGACCTGATAAAGATCCAATCGTTCCTTACTTCCTCTCGCTCTGGGGCTCTCTCATGCCTCATATGCCTTGAACGGATCAAACCCACCGATCCCACCTGGTCCTGCTCCTCCCGCTGCTTCGCAGTCTTCCACCTCCTCTGTATCCAATCCTGGGCCCACCAATCCTCAAATCTTGCAGCTGCACGGGCTGCCTCACGCGCCGCCACTCTTAACGATGACACCCTCCGCTGGCATTGCCCCAAATGCCGGATCGAGTATCCCAAATCGCAGACCCCCAAGTATTACTATTGTTTTTGTGGAAAACTCGAAAACCCACCTCATGATCCCTGGATTTTACCTCATTCTTGTGGAGAAATCTGTGGTAGGCCGTTGACATACAATTGTGGGCACGAATGCTTGTTGTTGTGTCACCCAGGGCCCTGCCCCTCGTGCCCGAAATTGGTTAAAACCAAGTGTTATTGTGGGGCTACAGAGGACGTGAGACGTTGCGGGTTTAAGGATTTTTCTTGTAAAGGCGTTTGTAGAAAGACATTAGCTTGTGGAAGCCATAGGTGTGGTGAAATTTGCCATGATGGTGACTGTCCGATGTGTCGCAAAAAAGGGGTTTATAAGTGCCAATGCGGGAAGGTGGAGCTGGAAAGAGAGTGTTGTGAGAGGATTTTTAGGTGTGAAAATCCATGCCAGAAGTTGCTTGGCTGTGGGAGGCATGTTTGTGAGAGAGGGTGTCATAAAGGTAATTGTGGTGAGTGTCCACTCCAGGGGAAGAGGACTTGTCCTTGTGGAAAGAGAGTGTATGAAGGGATGGCTTGTGATGTTGCTGTGCCTCTCTGTGGAGCAACTTGTGATAAGCTGTTGAGCTGTGGATTCCATAGGTGCCCAGAAAGATGTCATCGCGGGCCTTGCATTGAGACTTGCAGGACAGTTGTAACCAAGTCCTGCAGGTGTGGAAGCGCAAGGAAACAGGTAATTCTTAAAGTGATTGGTAAAATGAGATAAATTCTTTTATCAACGAAGTTGGGATTGAGATTGGTAAATTGATTTTAGAGCAGATTCCTTGTTATCAAGATTTAACATGTGAAAGGAAGTGCCAGAAAGTGCGGGATTGTGGGCGTCATGCTTGCAAGCGTCGCTGTTGTGATGGGGACTGCCCACCTTGTTCTGAGGTTTGTGTAAAGTTTCTGTATTAGTCTGTCTCTTGAAGTTAATTGTCAGCAAATGTGTGACCAGTGGTGTAGCAGATTTGTGACAGGAGGCTTCGATGTAGGAATCACAAATGCCCTGCTCCGTGCCATAGGTATCTTGTGATCCTTTAGATTGTAGTCGTTGCTTGAAATCTCACTTCTTGGTGAATTGTGTGATGTGAAACTTACCATAACTCTGTACTTCGTTTGCTTCCATGTAGAATCCTACTTACATCTGCTGACTGGTTTTTCATTTTATCAAAGATTAAGGAGACATAATATATTTTTTAGCAATTACACATTTTAATTTCTTGTAACATTTAGTATAAAGACTTGTTCACTTGTATATTTTGAGGAATCATTAAAATTGCTTTCTCAAGAGAAGATTGTCCTTTTCTCTTAAAAAGGTTAGGATGTTTGAAGGACCATCATATTATGCAACATTTGGTTGCAAATGATAATTTTGTACTCAACTGAAACAGTTTAATTTGGCTTAGCCTGGAAACGAATATTGAGTACAGTATATTGCACAAAATGCCTTTAAAAGAATTAACGAGTTGTGGATGTTAAGCCTGTAGTTGTGCCACATAATTACTTGTGAATTCCAGAATTATGAAGCTAATCAAATAAATTAGGTCTTCTGTTGGCCCAGACTAATGTTACAAATTATCAATGATTTTTATTTTGCTTCTTTAGAGGTGCCTGTTCTCCTTGTCCACTGATGGTGATGATTTCATGTTCATGTGGGGAAACACATTTTGAGGTGAGCACTTTTTCCCCTCTGCAATTAATATGAAACTTTACAAGCAATGTTTATTGCCGAAAATGTCACAACATATAACAAAGCAGTGCAATCTCTTTTTTGCCTATACGATGTACATTATGTTTCATGTTTGTGGATTGGGAGCGTTCCGGATGTGGTGCTTGCTAAGGCACAAAAATGGGAGAAAAGTTAAAACTTTTTCTTTCTCAAGTAGTAATACTATAATTTTTTGGTTGGGAAACATTTTGAAAGTACAGTATATTGTTGTGAAGCAAGTAGATTTGAATATGAACATCTTTTACTTGTAACATCTCATTTTGATTAACTTCTGCAATTGATGCAGAATTATGAGCATTACTTGTACTGTTAAATCTGTTGCTTTACATTGATTAACAACTTTCTTTGAATTTCATACTTAGGTTCCATGTGGCACAGAGACCGAGCAAAAGCCTCCTAAATGTCCCAAACGATGTCGTGTAGCTCCATTGTGCACCCACAGGTTAATTTGCAAGGTTTGTAATTATTCACTGTACTGATATTTGATATGGAACCATTGTAGAAACTTCCTTTCCATTTATCTTGTGTATTTTGTTCATTTCTTCTGAAGTCAAAGCTTTTGTACTACTTTTGTGAAATTGTTGAGTGTGTGTGTGTGTTACTAGGTTATTATCTTCGGCCTAGTTTTGATTTCTAATCCTTTCGACATTTATTCAGCCACACAAGTGTCATTATGGAGCTTGCCCTCCTTGTCGTCTGATCTGTGATGAAGAATACTCATGTGGGCACAAGTGCAAATTAAGGTTTCAATTCTACTGAAGTTTGTTATACCTCTTTTTCTAGTCACACTTTTCTCAAACTACAATGCATTATTGATGGTAGTGCTTTTTAAAGGTGCCATGGCCCTAGACCTCCTGCCCTTCCAGAGTTTACATTGAAACCAAAGAAAAAGAAGTCAAGTCATGAGGCTGAACATATTCCTGGTACATTGTGCCCTCCTTGTCCTGAACTGGTGTGGAGATCATGTGTTGGCAATCACATAGGAGCAGAGAGGATGGTTCGCACAGAACTTATATATACTTGAATTTTTTATTTTCTATCTCCTTCAAGTGTGTGTGTGCGCGTGTTTGTGGATGGGAAGGAGAAGTGGGGCATTCCTTGTTCTTACCTCTTTGTTGTGTCACGTGTCTGCTTTTCTTGAAAAGTCTTGACCATCTTTGTCTTCCACCTTTTAGATGATCTGCTCAAATCCAGCAGAGTTTTCATGCGACAACTTATGTGGCACTCTTCTTTCCTGTGGCAACCATTACTGTACAAAGATATGCCATGCCTTGAAGAGCGATTCGAAATCATATAGTTCTGTACTGGCTGAATCATGTGAAGAGTGTAATCTTCCTTGCCAAAAGGTAAGACTTTCAATCGTTGCTCTCAGCTTTTTGATCACCACCAAAACTTAACTAGTTGCTATTGCAACTAACTTTCTACAAGATCCCTCACATTTTGAATATTGCATTTACAGATTCATAATTCAGTATTTTCAAATAATTTTAGTATCAAGTATGTCTATCTTTTACTTGTGAACCGTTCAGGAGAGAAGCCCTCCTTGTCCACATCCTTGCCCTTTGGTGTGTCATCCTGGAGAATGCCCTCCGTGTCATTCACTAATAAAGCGTGCATGCCACTGCGGTGCCATGGTTCATGCTCTTAAGTGCATATATTACAATAGTTTGGACGAAAGGGAGCAAGTGGCTGTTCGTTCATGCGGAGGACCATGTCATAGGTAATATATCTTCCTTTCCTTTATTTTTTCCTCAGGGCATACAGCAGACTGTATCTTCTTTTTTCATATGCTAATAAATGAGTATTGGAGCAGAAAGAACCATGGGTACAGATCCAAGCGCCTTTTTTCTTCTTTTCTGTGTTTCTTTAAGTATATGTAAGTAGGGACATCGGAAAGTTCCAAAAGAACTGGAAAAAAACTGTATAAAGGGCTATATTGACAAGTGATTAATACACTTAATCCATTTAGAAGTGATTGTCCCCTTTAACTTTCTTTTTAACGTACGAACTCTTTGTCCTGATAACTATGCATTGCTATCCAAAATCCCATAAATATGGAAATAATGTAACATTAACACCTAATATTGCTTTGAGAAATTTGGTAGCTTGACCCAAAAGTAATTGACATTTTGAAGAGACCTTATCGAAGTTTAACTTTTACCAGCAGGAACATTATCTTTCATTGTTGTTCATCTTTGTTTCTGGGTTTTTATACTTTATTACCCTTCCCTGCATGAGTTTTTTTTTTTTTTTGTGTTAAAAGAAATTATTTGCCAAAAATGTACAAGTATTTCCTAGGTGAAATTTCTTTAAGGCCTAGTTATAAGAAACAAATGGATAGACTGGTTTAGATAAAGCTTTAGAAGACTATAGTACAATCTTCTGATAGATTGTCCCTAAAAAGAAGAATAACAATTGCATGTAATCTGTAGAAAACAGCAGTAAATCATCGGGGATTGGCTCACATAAGCCAGTTTAGGCGACAAGTAGTAGTTGGTTCCTTCATAGAAATGACTATTTTTCTTCCTACAATTGAGCTTGCTATTCATTAGTGGAGTTATGATGAACTCTTTGAGCATAAAAGATCTGGGGGCAAGAAAAGGAGATGTGAAATAGAAAGTACAGCCTGTAACATAGGCTTTAATTTTATCTCTATTTATAATAGCTCAGTGTGAAAAAAGCATGCCTTTATTTGATTAGTAGATTTAGTACTGTTGTGTTGTGTGAAAATAAAAGGTGAATATATTTTGGACTGAAGGTTTCTTATCTTTGGAAAAACCCTAGTATTATGCTACAATGCAGTCATGTAGTGAGAATTGTTGCTACCACAGTACCACCTGGGATGGTTGTTATGATTTTAGATTTCAATTACTGCTAGTTTTCCAACATTTTAAGTCTCTGTTCTTAGAATGTGTTTGCTTTTAATGTTTAAGGGTGTGGAATATTCTTTAGGCATTATATGCAATTCAATCCTTCTTTAATATCAAATCCTTTTGTTGAGATTTGGGAGAGGTATGCAAATGAAACCTCAAGTTTATGAACTAATTTAGTGATGTTAAAGTTTTGATTTTGGCGCAACAGAAAGCTACCAAACTGTACGCATCTATGTCCAGAGATCTGTCATCGTGGTCAATGTCCATCACCTGACAAGTGCTCCAAAAAGGTAATTTTATGTTACGTGGATGAACAATCATTTTCTCCTACTTTTGGAAATTTCTCCTCATATGTAGCTATGTGTTTTGGATTCTCGTTCTGTAAAATCAAAACAATCTGCAAAATTCAGATTATGATCCTGAAGTTAAATTTGTTTATAGTTGTCTAGTACAGTTTTGTAGTTTAATTTTGCAGCGCACTACTTCATCATTCTACTTTCCATGTGCTTGTGTCCTTACTGCCTTGTGATTTTCCGAATATTTTCACTTTGAGACTCTTTTACCAGTAGTTTGAATTTCACTATTTATCTTCCTTGCATAAGGTTATTGTTCGGTGCGGATGCCAGACCTTGAAGAAGGAGTGGTCGTGCAAAGACGTGCAAGAAGCCTACAGGAATGCTGGGTCTGATCCCAAAGATGTGCCTAAAACTCAATTTGGACTTGGACTTCTCCCTTGTGATCCGGATTGCAGGAGTAAAATGAAGATCACTGATTCTGAGTTACAACTTCGTAAATCTGTAGTGACACAGGCAATTCCTGACTTCCTGTTAAATATGTTGATTTATGTGATAATGTCACATTTGCTATTCTTTTGGCATCAACAAATATGCCAGTCTTTTGGGACTGCTATGTGAAATTCAAGAAGATTAAATTTTTAGAGAAGAATGGGAGATCCTAAAGTTTGATTATGTTATTCTTGTTGACAAGTTGTTCTTTGATGGAGTTTAGACACCTTGTATTGTGTATAGGTTGTTGCCATGATGGAAATGTTGTGATGCATGTGCCTGATGCTTGATATTTAAGTTCTAGTTCTTTTCTTCTGCTTCCACAGAAAAAGGAACCAGATGGTGAGAAACCCGTAGCAAAACGAAGAAGGCGAAGGGAGCGGGTTCAGGAAGACAAGAAAGCTTCCAGACTGCAGGTTTGTCACATCGTGAGAGAAGTAATGAGACATTTTGTGTTTGTTGTTGCTGTAGGTTTACTAAGGGTGATTTCTGTTATTGCTGGGCAGGTTATTAGTGGTGCTACGAGAAAGGTGCTTTTGATTGTCATCATTTTGGTAACGCTGATTGCAGTAGCATACTGTGGATACAATGGCCTTTTGTGGCTGTCAGATTGGATGAATGAAGCTGAACTACAACGGCAAAGAAGAATATACCCTCGAATCTGATTAGCACGTAGTAGTAATACTACTATCAGTTGTCAAGGAGTGTGGTTTTAGGTAAGTATAGAGTGAGAGTGGGTTCAGTCATCAAAGAATTCATTTTTCTGTTTAATGATTTTAATAAAGCTGCACCGTGTAGGACTTACCGAGCATATATTACTAGGCTAGAGGATGTTTCAGAATCTTGGATTTTATCCATTTGTTATTTAGTCACATGAAGAACTTTGTTAACCCCATTGATCGCGTATTGAGTTTGCCAGTTAACAGGAAGATTGATTGTTGTAGGCATGGAAGTAATAGAATACGGCCCCTAGCGGAATGTTACTTGTAAAAGAAGATTGTTGAAAGGTTCTTGGTGGATGTTGAACAAGTCTGGATAACAATAAATAGGGGCGGCAGAAGGGGCGATCAGGAGCAGGAACAGGAACAGGTGTGTGCATATCTTCCGAATAGAGAGAGAGGCGGAGGCGCGCACACACGGCGGTGGCTGGAGTAAAAGCTCTAGCCCCGCGTGGTCTCCACAAAGTAGCCCTGTATAACCCCATGCCCGACCGACATCTCTCATCTTCATCTTCCCCTCCCGAATATATGGAGAGTTTGGCTTAGCGGGGCGTGCATCATTTAATGATTCAATTCTAGTGGACGCACCCCACAGGAACTTACAATCAAAGCGTGTACCACCAACACCAACTAGGCCTCATCCTCCCATGATTCTCCTTATCTTCATCCATTTGTCTGGGTTGCTGCTATAAGGGATGAACGACGAGGCTTGGACGTGCTTCTAGCTTCTGTGGGGGGGGGGGGGGGGTCGATGTTGTTAATTGCCTTCCCTTTTCGTCTTTGCTCTTTCTCGGCTTTGGCAAATCTTAAAAAAGAAATTTGGTTGGGATAAACAGAAATTGGACCGCTTCAGAAATGCAAACGCACAATTTGCTCGGGATAAGCAAGCCAGCCTCACTTTTTTTTTTTTCTTCAACGGCAACAATTTATCCTATTCGTACAAAAGAACTGGTATATACTAATCTGCACTATGAAAAAAAGGGACTCGTATGGAGATTGGGTGTTGCAATCTCTAAATTTTTTAAGAACAAAGAAAATATATGCTTCCTTGTGATGCTGTCCATTTACGTGAGCATGTCCATTTCGCTCGCTCGATCGTATTAGGTGGTACAAACGAGCAATTTGCCTGGGATGAGCAAAGCTAACCCCACCCTGTTCTGTTGGTTACCCCGACCTGTCAATTGTCATACTTCAGTCAATATTCAATACTCTATTTTTGGTATCAATATGAGCGTGCTTTGAAAAAAACAAAAAATTCACCAAGTCAAACAAAAAGTGGACGGGATCATCAGATGACCAAAAATTTTGACCGCGAAGAAAGAGCAGGAGTCGTCGTGTACAGTGTACACGTTACACTGTAGTAATCATTGGTTGGTTGGGGATCTCTGCAGCGCAACAACTTCCCTTTGGCTTCATGCAGCTATTTTAAACGACAATGAAAATGGAAAAATGTTCAATTCAATTACTTGGACAGACCTTTTTTTTAAAAAAATAAATAAATAAAACAAAATTTTAAAAAAAAGGGGTACACTACCAGTGCATTCCTGATTTCAACATTTCAATCCCCCAATCCCTATCATATGGGCGAATTTGGAACCCCAAATCAAATGATGCATTGCCCGAGTTCCAAAATTATTACTACTCACTCAATAAGGCCATCTAGAGGTTCTCTCTCTTTCATGTAACGGTAAGCTTTGACCCAAAGGTGTCTTAGAAGGGAAATTGAGAGGTAGGACTTCTGGGCTTGAGAATGGAGAAATTTTCTTGCCTTCCCTCCTTAATCCTTCCTTATCTGGGTCAAAAAAGTGAACGCACAAATCACTCATCTCAAAAGTTGTCAACCGTAGTAGAGCTTTTACCAGACAGAGGATTGAAGCTTTGAAGATTTCTGTGCAGAAAAAACACAATTATTTTTATCTACAACTTAAAAATCTGGATGACTTTTTTATCTTATGCTAAATCCCAGGTTCTTGCTGCCAAAATATTGCTGTGACGAGGTGAGAGGGTTCGAACTCGGAGTAGACGACTGACTCAGGATTCAGGAAGATGAGTTAGACCAAGTTCTTGGACCAATTGACTCAGAAGCCACGTCACAAGTAAAGAAAAGTCAAAAAAGTTGTTTAATTAATAATTATGGGGTGTTCACGAATTCAAGACACGGGCAGGGCAAATGAAGATGTTCAGTCTTTCTTTGACAAAATCCACAATCGTATTCATATCACGAGCTCCAATTTTACATTGGGAATGTGGTACGACGTTCTATCTTGTGTCTGGCGTGAAAATGATAGTAGCTATCACTGCAGATAATTTATCAGCAGTGTAGATTCTTACGTTGGATTTGTAACACAAATTTCTCTCGCTTCTTCGGATCCTCCCATAAAGAACCTCGGCGCACTCCACCGTAACTGTGAAGATTGATTGTTCTTCCCCTTCTCACGACTCACTAGCACGGGTTCAATAGAATCACATCCTCCTCACGTGCATCGTTGAGATCTACGCCCCGCAATAAAAATGAAGGATTTCTTCTTCTTCTTCTTCTTTTAAAAAAAAAAAAAAAAAAAATGTTTGTAAAGAGCTGCAAGCAAATTGGAAGCAAGGAATTAGTGCATGGGGAGGCCTGGTCTGCGGCCGCCCATTTACAAATCCACCTCTCAACCGCCAACCATTCATTGTCCCGACTTTTAATACCAAGAATGTTTGCACCGGAGTAATTTGGTGAACGTTAGTTACTTCTATCATTTTCAAGAATTGGTTTTGCTATGAATTACTCCCTCCGTCCCGTTTTGTTAGTGTTGATTTTTTTTTTGCACACAGATTAAGAAAGTGTAATTAATTTAGTTGGAAACATAAATTTAGATTAATAATTTCCTAAAATACCCTTATGCTAATCACGAAGAGTGCCAATTAATATCAGTTACAGCTAATGGGTTAGTATTAGAAAAGCTCAATGTATTCAATGTAGTGGGTTAGTATTTAATAACAATGTATTAATAACAAGATATTTAATAAGGGTATTTTAGACAATTTGAAAGATTACTACATTTCTTAATGGGAAAGTGGACTACAATTTAGGACAGACGAAAAAGGAAAACAAGACTATCAAAGTGGGACGGAGGGAGTAACTTTTAGATGTATGTATGCGACGTCGTGTATAATTTAAATTTTCAATTTGAATTATGTCATGTAACCTGATTTAAATTTATCAATATTAAAAAATTATACACTAACGATTTATAAAAAAAAAAATTATCCATAACAAATTGCTAAATGAATGACAAACGTGCTAATACGGACATCATGTACTAGCTATTAGTGTAAACTAACAATTCATAAAAAGAAAGGTATCCAATAAATTACCAAATGAACATTAGACAGTACTAATACAGACGTCATGTACTAGTTATTTTCATGTCCGACTTTTTTTTATTATTATTTAAATGAAAAGCTTTGAATTCGAAATGTCTCATTTATAATCTCTTTTTATCGTATCACTTAATCCATCCCTCCGTGCACTGCACTGGTTATCTTGAAATCTTGGTGCATATAAAAATTAAAATTAAAATATCTCGAACATTTGGAAGTTCTACTAAAAAACTTAGGAGGACCGAGTAAACATGTTTTGCAGGCGGCGGCGCCAGAGCAGCAACACAGCCAGCAAGAGTTCACATTTCCTGGGAGACAGTCGATAGAAACTCAACGTGCAGTGCAGGAGGAAGAGGAGGACAAAACAACTCAGGGTGGGTCCGCCTTGGGAGGAGGATACAGGAGAGCCCGCCCTACAGGTGTCATCATCTGGAGCGACTACTTGATTTTAATTGACCGCTTTTAATGGAATTTTCAAAGTCAATTCTCAGTAGGAAGTAAATTAGCCCAACGTGCAAGTTTTAAATGCCCCGCTGGACCACTTTTGTTACGGTTTTAGACTTCTTTTGTTTTATATATATATATACATATCATCCCATGTTCTAATATACTAATATTTATTTAAGGACATTTGTGAAACCATAAAAACCTTGGATAAAAAGCCCCCTCTAAGGCTGACCAAGTCCAAATTACCCAAAAAAAAAAAAAAAAAACGATACATGAGCATTTCTAGACAGAAAAGAAATTGAGGATATACAGTAGTGTAGCTGTTCCATGAAAATAAATTATCGATCTTTCTATTTGCTTGTCAGCGTTCATAAAATTCTAGGCTACGTCCCGCGTTAGAACAAATATCCTACTCTTTACACTCCAAAACAAAGAATCCCCACATCAATTGGTTACTAATGACCGGGGGGAAAAAAAGAAAAGAATAAATAGAAAAAACTGAAAATTTTGTGACCTGGAGTTGTTTTTGAGTTCAATCTGAAACAATGGATATTGGACCACTTGATATGCTGCCATGACTATCGTCGCACAGAGCCAATGCTCGTTCCAAATTAGCAACGATATCGGTCATGGTCGGCCTATCTTTGCCTTCCAAATTCACACAATGCATTGCGGTGTACGCCACCAGCTCCACCGCCTCCGCTTCGTTGAGCTCCGGCGGCCCGACCCTCGGGTCCAAAATCTTGGTCAATTCCCCAGCCATAATTGCCGGTACTGCATAATCCACCACGCTCATTGGTGCACCATCGTTTTCGCCTGCTTTAAAAATAGCCCTCTTCCCCGTCAAGAGTTCTAATAATACCACCCCAAGACCATACACATCACTCTTTGCTGTCAATACGTTTAGACCGAAGTACTCTGGATCGATGTAGCCTACTGTCCCAGCTGCCTTGGTCGGCCTAAAATGTTTTTGCTCCGATTCTGGACCCATTAGTGATAATCCAAAATCAGAGACTCTGGCAGTCCAATTTGCATCGATCAATATGTTGGATGACTTGATATCTCTGTGAATTATGGGTGGAACTGCGTAGTTGTGAAGGTACTCGATGCCCCGAGCAGCGTCCAGTGAAATCTTTATCCTCATTTTCCAAGAATTCACCACGCTGCTGCTCTTCTCCACATTGTCCTTGTCGTGCAGATGATCATAAAGCGCGCCATTTTTCATGTACTCGTAAACCAAAAGCCTTTCATCCCTCTCCTCACAAAACCCCACGAGCCTAACCAAATGCTTGTGATGAAGCCGCGACAGGAATGCTAATTCTGATTCAAATGCGCTCTCTTTCTCTTGGAATTTCTTCGTTCTTGGACCTGTCTCGCTCCGTTTAATCGCAACCTCGCGCCCATCAAGTAATTTGCCTTTGTAAACAACCCCAAAGCTCCCAGCACCAATCTTGTTCTCCATGGAGAAATTGTTGGTGGCCGCAGCGAGGTCTTGAAACAAAAACTCCTCTGCCCTGTCCGCATGTTTTGACGATGTTCCGCTCCTCTGTCGCCTCATCAGGCGTGATCCTTGCCGCCTAAGAGTGGATGATCTTGAGGGTGGACTACTGTTTGATTGCTGCGGAGCACTAGCAGCACTAATAGTAGGTTGCACTGAATTATGAATTTTCTTTTTCCCAAAACAAACACCAGTCCACCAACAATAAACTACAGTACAAATCCCAGCAAAACACCCAACTGATCCAACGATGGCAAAGGCCAATAAACCCCTCCTCAGCGCTTTAGAGGGCGAGGACGGTGATGGACCAATTGAAGGCGGAGGCGGCGATGGTGATGGACCTAATGGTTGTGGCTGTGGAGCTAAAATTTTAATATCACAAGGCCAACAAATATTACCATTACCAGAGCAGAGTGTTTGAGATTGAGGATATATACCACATCTACAAATACTACGAACACATGGCCCCGGAAGAGTCCTCTGCAATGGAAGCCCGACGCCTGCAGGATTCAAGTTATTAGGCCATCCAGGCCCCCAACAAATCACTGAAAAATTACTCGTAACTAATCCACAAGTAAAATCCAACCCCGCAACAATTGACTCAAATGAGGTATCTTCCGTAACACTGCTAGAAAATTCTCCACCTCCTCCCCAACAAACAACTGTGTGGTTTAGTGACCTAATAGCACAGGTATGATTTGCACCAAGAGCTAAGGCATTGTACTCGTACCCGAAATTAGCGGGCACATTTAACTGACCACTGTCGTTATTCCCTCTGCAAATAACCACTCCACCTGTATTCATCCCGCAAGCATGCTGTCCACCTGCAAATATGTTCTTCATCGACATATTTGCAAACTGTGTTTCTATCTTTGAAGCTAGAATATCCGTGTTTGTATTACTGCCCCAACAAGCAACCCTACTAGTATTCCCCACAACTCCACAAGAAAAGCCCAGCCCAGATGAAATTGAACTGAAACTCGACGTCCCATTTGGCGAACTTGCTGAATGAGACTCCCCGCGCCAACAACGGACGTTAGTAGCACCGTTTGTTAAGGCGCAAATTTGAGTATCCCCAATTGTAATGCTTGTTAACAAGGTTGAAGACCCGAGGTAGAGTCTTTTGGGGGTGAAGTTAGCAACATTCCAGCACAGGAGGCTGTATCCGCCGGAGCGGACAGCGCAGACGGTGTCAAGACCGCCAGCGATGGAGTCGAAAGAAACGGTGGGGGCGTAGATGGATAGGAAAACCTGGCCGTTCCTCCAGCATTGAATTTGCTGGGTGGGTTGGTCGGCGAGTAAGGTACAGATGGTGGTGGCCGAGCCGTAGCTGACGGCCACCGTGGTGGCAGAGCCTCCGAGTGCATAGGCTGAGGGAGGTGGGTTGGTGACGGTGAATATAAGGATGGTAGTTATGATGATGGCGGTGGCGATGGTGGCGGCGGAAGGTGGGGGACTCATCTAAAGGGTGGTTAAGGCCCTCCAGTCCCCCCTCATTTTTTTTTTTGGCAGAGAGAGAGAGAGAGAGAGAGAGGGGATGGGACTTGGTGGGAGGCCTAGAGAGAGAGGCCGGAATTGCAAAAGCATAGAGAATTGTTGCTACACTACTGTTTTTAAGACTGGAAGGGGCTCTTTGTTCAACTGCATAAAATTCTGAGGGGGAAAATGTTAAGCTGCGTTTCATGTTGTACGAGAACTGCATTGTTATTCGGACACGTGGTGCATGTGGGTCCACATTGCTGAAACTCATGTGCGATACGAGACAAGTTAGGGGCTTCCACGTAGGCATGTGTTTCTCTCGGTATTAGTAAATGGATTTGAGGTAATTATGATTGGTATTAGATGTTATTGGTGTGGTATATTTGAGGTGCGTTTACAAAAGTATTTGTATTTATGTAGTATGAAGTTAATGTACACAAAAAAAATATTTTTGAGAAACATAATCTTGTATGAAACTTGTAAAAAAAAAAAGGTATTTATTAGTGTTGCAAAAAAATGACTTATAAGAAACTTGTATGAAGCTGGAAAATGAACTTATGTTATTCATTCATCAACTTACGTAAAACAAATTAACAAAACATCTAACTAATAATTATCCTATAAAATCTCAACAAAACATAATTTTCTACTAGCAAATCTTAACTAAAATATTTTGTTAAAAAACCAATATGATCTTTGAATAACATATATCCTAATAACAAGACGTATTCTTTTATTAACTAAATTATTCTAATATCAAAAACAATCTAAAAAAATCTGTAGAGAAATTGGCATATCTCAACACATATTATGTAAAAAAATACAATAGCCTTGCAGTCATACGAAATTCCCAAGTGTAAAAAATACAATCAAAAAAATATTTCCAATTGTAAACTACCTGGTAAATACTATTCCGGCTTAGGTGGCGGTCACTGGTCAGTGTTACAGGCCCGCGTTGTTTATCTTTTCACTTATGGTGTGTTGCATTGTACCTTCGCAGAAATCAAAGTGAAATATAACTCCGCGCATAGCACGGGTCAAAATACTAGTATTGACCAATTTTAGGGTGTGTCGTTAATTGGGGGGTTTTTAATGATTTAATACGGGCTTAAGTTAGAACATAAATGGCGGGCTGTTATACTTACTAAAGTTGAAATTCAAATGTAAGGAACTAAGCGGTCAAATTCAAATAACACGAGTTTCTTTGCATGGTCTCACCCCTGATGTAACATGAGCTTCATGCCTTCAAAAAAATTAAAAGTGAATATAGATGGCCTCAGCTTTGTGGCTGCTAAAAGAAACTAGCTTAAATTTGGTGCATCTTTTACAAAATGCATCCTTTTGACTCTTGAATGCAATCCGAATTTGAATTTGAAACTCAAATTTTATATATATATCGTATATCTAATCGTGATAGTGTATACATCGTCAGTATATACAAGATTTACTCAAAATGGATTAATCTTCTATACACTGGCAGTATATACACTTTTACCGTGAGATGTATGACGCATCATCCGAATTTGAATTTGAAACTTAAATACAAGATTTACTCAAAATGGATTAATCTTCCATACACTGACAGTGTATACACTTTTACCGTTAGATGCATGACATATAATCCGAACTTAAATTTGAAACTCAAATTTTATATATCTGTCGTATATCCAATTGTGATAGTATATACACCGTTAGTATATATAAGATTTACTCAAATAAAATCCTAATATTTATTACGTGATTATATGTTGATTCAGTACTTGTGTATAGACTCTAAATCAATGTAAATGGTCTACTGGCAAATCGAAAGAATGTTGCTTTTAAAAGGGGGTGGGAGAACTACCAAGTTTTGGCTTAGTGGTTATCAAACAGGGATTAAATCACTCTTTGTGTAGTAGATTAGGAGTCTCATCTACTGTGAAATTTTTTTAAAAAAAGTATCAAAACACCTCTTTAATCGAATCAAATCTATATATCCGTTCTTTAGACTCTCCTCCCTGTTAAATATGATAAATTAAGTTACAGAAAAGTTTTCCCTGCAACAATAAAAAACAAAAAAGGGGAGGGGGGTGGGTGGGAGAGGGGCAAAAAGTTTGAGAGGGACAGCTGAAAGATAAGAGGAAGAAAAGGTACACTGGATTTCTAGGAAAATCCAGCAAGCCAGTGGATTACATTTCATCTCCTTTGATCGGGTCATTGGCAAATGGAAACTGCCGATGAAGAGGAATTTCTTGGAACGTTTCTCCGGGGCAAATGAGAGAGATGGCTAACGAATTGAAATTGAATTGCATGACTCAAGACTTGAGAAATCAACACGAACGTTCGAAAGAAGGCTGCGTATTACTCCTGCCGATTCAACAAATCAACATGGAATTACAAGTAAATATATTTCTTCTTCAAGCTTTTTTCACAGTTTCCTTTTGGTGTTTATATTCTTCCACTCGTGGAAAATTCAGGTTAAATTCCAAAAAAAAAAGTGAAAATCATTTATTGTCATTCCAAAATAAGTGCTCTCCGCATTAATAAGGAGCCATGTTCTTTTTTTTTTTCCGTGTTTTTTTTGTCATTCGTTGTTTATTTATTCTACTCCTATTTTTACTCTAATCTAATTGAAGGAAGGGTCCAACTGGATTAATTAGAGAATCGACGAGAATTGAATCACAATCGAACTAGATGCATCCGTATAGATTTGAGTCGAGGAAATCACATATATTGTGGCAAGTTACACCCATCAGGACTTAAATTCTTTGGTAGGAGCCAAGTTCATGTTCAAGTGGAGTATGGTATTTAGGGGAAGAGATGGAGTACCGGCTACCCACCACTGCTCCTACCGTGCCCGATTGAGTACAACAGTGTTAAAATCAGCAAATGGCCCGTTCCACCCAATTGCCTGAAAAACAATAACAATTAGCATATATGTGGGATGGAACAACTACTAAGGGGGCTCAAATTCAATTGCCTCTAGCTTTATTTGCGATGCCATGGAACCAATCATTTTGCTGTCCATTTGCCATCTCTGGTCTTTGCCGTGTATGAAGTCTGAGACCACATCTATGATTGTTTTCTTTGGTTTTTAGACTACATGCATTAAGGTAATCGACAGTGTTATCCTTTCTTAAAATAATAATAATTGTCTTAATTTGAATTTTTGTTTATGTAAGAAAATATATAGATTATAGCTTCACATATTTGTAGGTTGAAAGTAAAAATTTTGTCAGGATAATGCTACCCTTTCAATTTCAATTATAAGGATAAAAGAGAATAAAATAAGCCAAAGATAGAAATACTCTGAGTGAATTCTTTCACTATCAAGAACCTGAACAGCAAATAGTTCAATATATACTTTAATCTTCACTAATATTCAACTAGGGGAGCAAATTTGACCCTTAGGGATCCACTCTATTTCCAATCAATCGTCGTCAAAGAAAAAGGTAATTCTTAATCCAGAACTCTTGAGGATCTATACAACTGCTCCTGTCCTTTGCTTTTGAATTTCATGACTGAAATTTGTCAAGACCTCCCAAGCACAAAAAGCCTTCCTCCTCATTCCTGTGGGTTGTTCTTTTTTCTCAATGCCACCCGACCCGGGCTTCCGGGGAAAATAAAAGATGCAAGGAAGGCTAACTTCCTAAATAAAAGCAGGGCTTCAAACAAATGGACTGTTAATTGGTAGTACATGCCATGCAGCAATTTCAGGGAAGTAATTTAATTAGATCTGGTACACCATAGAAAATCTAAGAGACGAAAGAAAAAAGAATTACAGCAAAGAACATTAGTGGTGGCTATATGCTTTACGTGACGACATCCATGCTCCTTGGAGGTTTTCTTGGAACAGCGGTGTTAAAATGCAAATGGGGTCAAATTATGTATGCTTTCTTGCTGGAATACAACTCTGAGAAGTATGCAACTTTGAGTTGTTGGAGCAGTTGGCTATGACCCTTGCTCTTTTATGTCTTCTTACTTTTCTGCTTTTCGGTTTCTTAAAATATACATTGAATGAGAAAATAATTGAGTTCCTGATCTGAAAAGCAAATGATGTACATTGGACGTTTCTTTTTTCATCATTTTATTTTCCGTGTTGACCATTGGAATACTAAAACATGAATCAAGCTTTCCTTTTTTTTTTTCTTTATTTTCCGATGCTCATTCTTCATCAATTAGTCACCAATTCCAATTAGCATAGGACAGACTTGCCTTTTGATGGCAATCATCCCTGCTCGATTAGTCATACCATTTGTACAATCATTTGCTTCTTTTAACAACTCAATTGGGCTTCTATTATATACAAACTATGAGACCAACCACCATAACCATAATATTTGATGCCTTCATAGTTCATGTGAGAGAGAAACTTCCCACGAGGACTTACCTTGCACCCTTCAAGAACAACATTGACTAGTTATTGCAGCTGTACCATGATATTGATGAACCTAATTTAGATGACAATGCATAAGGCTATTTCATTTTTTAACTTAAAAAATTGTGTTGGTAAAAAACTATCTGCTTGGGATTCTGTTCTTACCTCGCGATGATCTGGGATGTTTCAAAAATCAAAGAAACTTCGCTTCTTGAACAGATAAGATTTTTTTTTTTTTTTGAGGGTGACAGATTAGATTGTTCAGACGTGCTTATGAAACAGATTATGATCTTGAATTAAAGAAATATGGTATGTTCTGTTAATTTGCCAACTTTAATAACAGGCCAGCGCTCTGTTGGGGTCCACCTAAACACGATTAGTAAAACAAAAGCGTGTTAGAAGTTCTTGAACAATGTATTGGTCCATGCTTTCGATTCTGGCTGAACATGAAGGGCTTTTAGGAAGGAACATGGGGCTGTTGTAGAAAGGTTAATCAACCATTTTGTGATAGTCTGGGTTTGAGACACAATCATGATGTCGAACTCTTTAGCAAATCCTTATCCTCAGTTATTGTTAATTACGAGCCTATTTCCCAATAGCCTAGCTAACTGTACCGGGGATCACCAGGTCACGGTGGGCTGTTTTCTTGCTGCATACCACTTCTTCATTTGCTCGGTATTTAGCTGGCAACCCTCAACTCCAGGCAGAAATCCATCAGTTTATGTTTCTTCAAGAAATGATGTACTTTTCTGGGATGGAAAACTGAAGATGTATGGTGATTATCGAAACATGGAAGCCAGGCGACTAATGACACCAGTTTCTCGTCTGAAACTTTCTTTAAATCGATTTGATATCATCATTTCACAATTTGCCGATGTCCAGAAAATCTATCCTTATTCCTCTTGACTTAGTGAACAAGTTTTTAATCATGCAGCAAACATGGCATTCTTCAATGTCTACCTGACCTTTCCCACAAAGCGAACAGACGAGTTAGGCATACCAAAATCCATTGGATGCATCCTTCTATTACTAATCGAGTTGGCAAGCAGACAGATGATGAATTACATCTCTCTGCAAGACTAAGTGAGAATGCAACAATAATCTGGTTTCAACGGCACAAGCTAACTTGTACTAAATAAACAACTCTTGACAACTAAAAGTAGCATCCAATGGTAGGTTCTGTACAGAAGAATACTGCTAACATGCAAATAATTATTGGCTAGAATACAGTGTACAACATCTGACAAGTACATTAGATCCCACATGAATTGAAAGCTATGAACAGAGTTACACAAGAATCTTTAGTTTCCAGAATCGCAGTATGTGCATCATCCATTGGAGACACCTCTGTGAAGCGGCTGTGAAAAATTCAAAGCTGCTGCTCTGCACAAAATGCTGCTATACAAAACTTCACTCTTCGTGGGAAGAGATGTTGCCCTTCTAAAAGATTTACTTTCCAGGTGCATCCAGGAATAATAAACTATCTCAATTTTTAACAATGCCTTCATAGTTTGCCCACCAAGATGCAGGAATCCCATGTCTTTGAAACCATTCAGGCATATGAAACCTTTCATACAGCACTGGCCTTACATCCTTCTGCTGAGAAAGGTGCTTGAGAAGTGGAAGGATAACTTCCAAAAGCTGATGAGCATGTGCATGTTTAAATTAGCGTGCGTCTCACCCAGTGGACATAGTTTGACAAAAGTTTTTATCCAACTACTGTAATCAATGGTACCTGTTCATCCTGCGGTTGCCCTGCTGAAAATGGTATGCATGGAATACCATTTAGTGGTTGCAACAAGAAACTGAATGGATTGTTATCAACGATAACCATTCGACACAAATCCTTTGATACACATGACAAATCCTTCACATGCTCTCTATATTCCCTGCAACATATCCAGCATCCAAAACATGAAAACACGATCAATCTTCAACATCAGCAAAAAAGCATGAATACACTATGGATCCTCAACAAGAAGATCCAAACTTTTAACCAACCAATATCCCGAATGTACTAGTAGCAATTCCCCCCATGTAAAGCATTTTCTTGTTGATAGAATACTTGCACCAAATAATAAATGAAATCAGAAAGCTACTAATATTCTTTTAATTCCTTAATAAAAGAGCGTCTGAAGTCGTTTGAGCATCAAGCAGAACATGAACGAGGACTCTCAAACTGGTCAACTTAGTCCAATACATTGTTCATACAATAATGGTGGCACAGTAAGATAGATACCATCGAAATTTGCTTCAAGAACTTTTTCGAATAGTTGTGTTACCATGCCAAAAAATCTTAGCTAGAGAAAAATAATGACTGCCCCCAAAAACCATGCTCTATTTCTTGTCAACTATCGGCTTAGTGAACTTCGCTTAAGAATGTTGACCTGCAAAGAATAGTAACTTTCACCATCAGGCTTGCTCCATATCAAGATAGATCTTCCATATCTATCGACAAATCACTGACCTCTCAGTGCTCTGTGGATTCTCATTGGAGGAGACAATTACTACCCGAAAAACTAGAACTCTCTAACACCCAAACACAAGTGCTAAAATAATATAAAATCAAAGAAGATAAAATAAAATTGACATAGCTTAATGTTACCTGATGTCATCCCTACATACAGCAGACTAATGAACTGTGAGCTAACTAAGATCCATACAAACTCACAACATCATGTCTCTAGTATGTATTAACACACGTGACATGCGAGTGCCCACACAAGGATTTTAGCTCAAAATTCTTTAAATGGAAGGGGAGGGAGAAGTAACTGCAAATGCAAAATGTTTAATTGCTTTTACACAAAATGCTTGAATATCCATTCCCCACACTTCAGAAATCAGGGAAATCTGAAATTTATAGCTCCAAGGAAACTCAGTCGACCCCCTCAAGTAGATGTGTATATGCATCAGAGCAGTGACAGTTTCTGAGCCACCATTATTACCATTTTTCTTTAGTTCAATATATAATCACCAAAATCTGCTCAATTCATAAAAAATTTGGGCTGACTTACAATATATCTTGACAACATGTTCTGGAAATAGCTCAGCTGCTTTGTCCTTGAATATTCCAGTTCCATCAAATTTTAAGAATGTAATATAAATCTCTAAATGATGATCAAAATTAACCTCACCAATACTAGAAAGTAATTATGCAATTAAACAGAAAACAAGAAATCTAAATAACAATAATCACGAAAACTATGGGGTCTGGTAATTGCAAAAACAGCTCGAAGCACAGAAACCATTCTTCCTACATGACCATTTTCCTGTAATTGTTCATCTCTTACAATGTCCACCAGACATTTTTATATCAATAAGGTCAAAGGACTTCAAAACAGAAAGAATACCGTTATCCCAACAATATACTAACTCCCAACAATTCACCAGTTAAACAAGCTCCAAAACAGAGAGAATACCTTATCCCAATTTGAGTGTTCTTTACCCTATATTTAACCACTGATCAATGAGCACATTATCCTGGTCACAGACCTATGGTTTACATGACGTCTCTTACAGAGAAAATCTGGTGCCAATATCAAACCGTAGACGCGTACTTTGATTCAAAATGTAAAGCTATTTTATCTTGGGCCGTCATCCACATTTGATGTGACTTTCCGAAGGAAAAGAAATAGTGCTAGGTCATCTTTGACCATGATATGTTAGCCCAATTAGGTCTTCTGTTAAATGGTTAACTTTCAATGTAACTCAACCTTATTATGACCTATGAATCACAACAGCTACATCAAGCACCCATATGGAATTCATCCAAAAGCTCAAAGTGGAAGAGGACCTCTCTCCCAAAGAGTTAACAGTCAAGAACAGAAAACTTAATAACTAGTGGTCGAGGATTATAACCACAGCATTGATTCCACTAGTTTAGAGAAGAAAACCAAGAGGAGTTCACCAAAGAGGTCCAAGATACACTGTTTCATGTTTCATGTTACATTACATATAAGAGTACTCGTTTTGTACTAAGCCTGGATGGATATCCCACAATATATAGCCAGATTTTTTTTTGGTCTCTTTTTTCTTTGCCAGCTAGATATGTGTTCTTAGCTTTAGTAATTTCTTTCTTCTTCATTTTCTTTTCCTCCAGTAAGTTTTTAACTCTTTCTTCCCAGAAGAGTAAAAGTCTCTTATATTACTTTTTTGATACTTCCAAACATATATACAGAAGTCAACTTGTTTTGATACTTCCAAACATATGTGCAGACATCAACTTGACTCTCAAGTATAACTAGTAGATTTAAGAACAATCAAAAGTTCTTCCCATATAAATTAATGTAACTTTAACCCAAGATAATATAATAAACATATTACCCAAGACACGTCGAATGAGATCACTACTACACTTACGTGCTAATGGTTGACGGTCGATAAAGTCTGAGACTAAACCTATTTTCAGCATCTATTCTGTCTACAAGAGGCCTAGCATACCCTGCAAGGTGCAAGCACAAAGCACTGTTAATTTAAGCAACTATATATATAAATGCAATCAACTACAACAATAATAACCCCCCCCCCCAAAAAAAAAAATCCCCAAAACAGTAAAAAAAGGATTTAACTGGAAAAGGAGAGTAAAGCATAGAAAATCAAAGAAATTGCCCTGTATTGAACAAACCTTCAAGGCCAGCAGTAAATAATACAAGGTTGGCAAATTCACTGAGTTGTTTGAGAAAT